CCGCCCCCGGGCCCCCGGGGAGAGGCGAGACCACCCACCCGTCCGGGGGGGGTGCGGCGGGGGCCTCCCCACCCGCTCCCGGAAGTAGCGCCGCCTCCGATGCTTCCGCGCGCGGAATCCGACGAGACGCGCATCCGGCCCAGGCGCGGCGGACCGGAAGTGCTGGCGCGGCCTCCTCCAGAGTTGGACGCTCTAGGAAACGGGAGCCGGGGATGTTCGGCGCCCCCTCGCGATGCTCTTCCTGCCCTGGGAGCCTCGGGTTGCCCGGCGGTTCCGGTGGCCTGATGGGCGGCTGCTGGAAAAGGGCCTTTCGGAATGGAAATGGCTGCCAGGAGCGCTGGCCCTGCGGAGTCAGAGCGGGGACGCTGCAGCCCTTGCGCCCGCCGTCCAATCCCAGAATGTTAAATCTCTTTCTTCAGAAATCCGTCCAGGCGCCCGAAGCTTTCCCTGCAATTGTGATCTTTCTTTTAATTTTTTTTTTAAATGCATAGCATTATTCCTTTTATTTTAAAAAAAATGGCAACTTAACTGCGTTTAGAAACGTACGTGGCTATAAGCAATCAACGTCCAAAAACTTGCAAGCAGCCGTAAACAGCGAACACAAAAGGGCTATGAAAGGAGGGGAGAAATCCTTCAATTCTTTTTACTTTTGTGATCCACTATACATACAGAATTTGAAAATGGGTTTGCAGAATGTTTACTTTAAAGTTTTTTAAAAATCACTTTTAAAGGAGTAGAATCACCTAAAGATTTATTCAGGATGGGAAGCAACCCCAAAACCTATCCCAAGTATATTGAAATCCATTCCATTCTACTGCACTAGTTTAGGGCTTAATTGCTTTGCATCCATGACTGCCCTTCCTTTCCACCTTAAAATCACAGAGCGGAAAGGGCCGTTTAGGTCAAGTCCAAGCCAACGCTGAGTGCAGGAATCCCGATTAAAGCGTCCCAGACAGATAACTGCCTGAACTTCACTTGAACCCACCCAACGAAGGGGAAACCATTATCTCTCTGGTTCAGTGTTGCTCAACCTCAGCAACTATAAGACGTGTGGACTCCAACTTCCGGAATTCCACAGCCAACGTTCAACTTCCACGGCTAGCTGGGGAATTCTGGGAGTTGGAGTCCACACATCTTAAAGTTGCTGAGGTTGAGAAACACTGCTTCTGGGTGATCGGTTCACTGTCAAACTGCTGTTACTTGGAAGCATCATCCATGTTTCTCCTTGGATGCAGAGGAAATAACGGACACCAAGCAGAGTGTGGTGTTTATTGGTTCCTCCACTTATTTAACCAAGTTGCAGCATTGCCAAGTTTGTTCGTTTGGATTTCTGAGCAGGGATGGATATCCTTAATAGAAGCGCAGCCCTTTCTCCTTTTTTATTTCTGTATCATTTAAATAAAGGGTTTCAATAAAAGCACACTTATGAGGACCCCATGCTGGAAAAGCTAATGGGAAAAGGAACTCAGGTGAAAAAATCTTCATGGGGAAAGCAGAGTTACAAATTCTAGTGAGCAAAGTGGCCACACAAATAACTTAATGAAGACCCGAAAACTAAAAAAGAGACATGTACAAAATGCAAAGAGGGACGGGTCATAAAAAATGAATGTAGACAAGTAGCTCAGAATTAGAGTGGGTGTCAGGAAAACAAATGTTTTAAATAAGATGAGTTTAGCAAAACACGCTAAAAATATTTTTTAAAGATATTTGCAAAACAAAAAGAAAAGAACCATGACATCAGCTGTTCAGCAGAAACAACAAAATATTAACAGGTATTGAAGAAGAGGCAGAGCTACTCAACTCCTATTTTCAATTCATTCTTTTCAGACAAATACCTTTGTGTTTACCAGAAAATTGTGAAGAGCAGGATGAAGGGGCAGGACTGGCATTTAAAATACAAATGTGATCAGGGAATCCCTCTATACTGAGTTTAAATCTCAGGATGAGATTACTTCTATCTTATTGAAGGAACTACCTGATGGCCACACTGAACCCTTAATAGTTCTGTTGAGAAATCCTGGAGAACTGATAAAGGAACTCCAGTTATCTAGAGGATATCAAATCTCCCTATCTACAGAAAGGGGGGCGGATCCAGCTAACTACAGCTTAGTCAGTCTGGCATCAATATTGGAAAGGCTCTAGAGCCGTGTTTCTTGGCCTTGGCCACGTTAAGATGTGTGGACTTCAACTCCCAGAATTCCCCAGCCAACTCTGCTCTAGAGCAGATCCTAAAGACATCTGTTGGGAGTTGGGCAGCACACAAGTTCAATAATAATAACAAAACAAAATAAAATTTGTAAGCATCTTGAAAACATTGCGGCAATTACCAGAATTTGATATGTATTTCTCAAGAACAAATATAGCCAGACTAACTTTATCTCATTTTTTGATCAGGTAACTTTAGATTGAACAAATGGTGTGGACATGTATTGACTTCAACAGAGCATTTGACAAAGTATTCCAATGACATTTTGATTAGCTGATTAATATGGTTTTGGTATGTCTATCAGATGAATTCAAAGTTGCTTCAGAAATAGTATTCAAACAAGCCCATTGATGATTTGTCATCAAATTAGAGAGCTGTCAAGTGGAATTCTACAGTCTTGTCCTGCATTCTGTGCTCTCCAATATTTTTAATGACGTAGATGAAGAGGTAGAGTAAATGTCTATTAACATTTCAGACCACACAAAATTGAGTGGGATAGCTAATATCCTGGAATACAGAAATAAAATTTAAAATGGTCTTGCTAAGTTAGAGAAATGAGTGAAGTGCAAAAGTCTTACTTTGGGAAACAAACATCAGATGCACAAGAACAGAACAGAACAGAATATACCTGGCTTGGTCATGGTACTTGTGATAAAAATCTTAGAGTAGTATTAAAATGAAGGGCATTGTTTTGATACACAATTTTACACTCTCTCATAATGTATGGGCATGCAT